TCACACATTTATTTTGTGATGAAGTCAAAAGGGGATAAAACAAAAGCTCTAGAGACTATTGTGTATTACATCAAACATAAGATATTATTTTATATGCCTATAATAATAATTTTAGTCATAATTTAGGTTCAACAGATGCTTTTTGCCATCTATATATACAAAGTTTTATCAACACCTTCACTCTTTCAGAACAAAATTCATCGTGTGCAAAGTTAGCGTATTCCCTTCCTGTTTCTCACTTAATCATGTGAGACTAAATTATCATAAACTTTAATTCATAACAAAGTAATCATTTTCATGGAGACTGTAATAATATTCATTAATGCAATATTATATTTATAGCAAAACATTAATGCTGTCACTTGCTCGCAAAAGCTACAATAAATAGAATTATCAATAAAAACAAAACTGCATTTAGTAATGGAAAAATAGCAGTGTTATCTGGTAGAATCAATAATGGCAAGTTTCCTACTCGCTTATTTGTTGAAATCCATGCTTCACTTAAGCTGCCATACACCAGGAAAACGAGAACATCAACTTCCATTGCAACCGAGTCTGGAATGAGAGAAGGAAGATAAAATTACCTAATTACTAGAACAAGTAAGTTTCTAAAAAATAAAAAGATATGCACAAATATTTAAAAAATATTTGAAGTTCAATGCATAATTGATAAACAGTGCATGGTAAAAATTTAAAAGCAGCACAAGTGGTACAACTTTTTAATTCCATTTAAGTTTCGGTATTTATAATTTAAAGACAGACATTACTGTATAGCCGGTAATTGTCATGGGTTGCAAAGTTCATGGATTTCACGTATTCCTTATTGATTCACGAAAATTAATTTAATATGGTACCTGCATGGTACACGTGGTAGAGTTCACGAAATTAAAATCCGCGAATTGGATTGTTAGTAGATTTTGCGAAATACAGGACCCAAAAATTACCAGCCATACGGTATTATATGTACATGTATTAGAAAAGGCTTACTGATACTGCATTGTGTCCATTCAACAGGTACAATGGATAACAAACAGTAGTCCCCCAACTCAACAGTCAACAATCAAATGATTAACACATGTTAGGCTGAGGTTGTCCTTGCCTGTAGCCAATCTATGATAAAACAGTCAAAAAATTATAGCTACATGTACATGACATCAACTAACTTTAACACAAGCATCCGTGACAACAAGACACACCTAAAAGTGTTCAAATTAAGTTGTCAGTACTTGTACTTTACCGAAAATATCAATAAATGACTTTAAAATACACAAATCCTGATATACAAGGGAGTGGTGACCCTGTCCCGTCCAACAAAGATCAGGAACTGGTTCGTCACTACAAGACGCACCTAAAAGTGTTCAAATTAAGTTGGTAATACTTGTACTTTACGGTATATATCCATTAATCCCATTAAAATACACAAATCCTGATATACAAGGGAGTGGTGACCCTGTCCCGTCCAACAAAGATCAGAAACTGGTCCGTCACTACAAGACGCACCTAAAAGTGTTCAAATTAAGTTGGTAGTACTAGTACTTTATTGTAAATATCAATAAATGACTTTACCG